GATCAATGGAGTATATTTATATTGTTTTTGCCTTTTTATTTAAGATATGTACAAGAGTAAAATTTTTATTTAAGATATGCACAAGAKAAAAATCCAAACATTATCATTGTGCTTGATATAAAATTTGAAACAAGAAAGGATGTTTTGTAATACATGTATATATAGAAATAATAAGATTATCTATAATGGATTTTAATTCTACATGTATCCTAAAAGCAAATTCTATAGTATACAAATTCTTATTCTTCTATACAAATTCTTTTTTCTACTATATACAAATTCTTATAGTTTCTATTGTATACAATATACATATACATTTTTTCCCCATTCTTAATCAAGTTTTTTCCAGAGTAGTGTTTTTAGCTAACCATTCATTTAGACTATATTGAATATTTTTTTTCTTGATGTAACTTGAGCTTTCTTTCCCTTTTTTCAGTTAGGTGTATGATTCCATCTTTACCATGGCGAATATAAGTATACTCATGTAACTTTAGGTGTTTTAACAACAGTCCACAACCTGCAAGTTTTCTGTCATGCCTTTTGAAATTACTTTTCCTTTCACTAGAGATGAAAGGAAGGCATATTTTTGGACGTGATTGTGGTGATTTCACACTGGTTGATTGTATACACCCTTTTAATAAGTCCCATGGTATTGTTTTCTCCACACTTGACGTCAAATTTATTCTTTTGAAACTTTTACAATACAAAAGGAATAAAAAGAATAAATTTGACGTCAAGTGCGGAGAACGTGATACCTTATTAAAAGGGTGTATATAACACAGGAAAAGAAAATTCTGTTAGGGCTGGCCAAGCATTTTCTCATCAATTGCATTATGTACATCATCTGGATGGCATTGTAAAACATTAACTGATGTTGTGGTAGAGGATAACAGAATCAAAGGATTTGACATTGTGAGCTACATGTACCAAAATAGAATTTGTTCATCAAAACTAGCAGTTATTTTTTTTCCTCCCATTATGACTGAAATTGTTTTGAAAAGAAAAAAAATGAAAAACATAGGCAAATAATAATAATAATATCTTCTAGAATTACAGATTATTTCCTGCATTTTTATTACTCTGTTCAGTCCGTCCAGATCCAGTTGCAATGGATAAGAGTCCACGTTCCTCATTTTACAATATTTTGAACATTAGTTTACCCGTGTAAAATCAAACTTTTTGGGGAATTTCCGTAAAAGAATTAAAAAAAGTAAACTCCTTTCTAATCGTATGTTACAAATCTAAGGATGTATAGGGAGAATGGCGTGAAAAGATATTAAATAATATGGAATAAATTCGTCGATAAAGACACTACAACGATGCACAACAAAACATCGTGCGTAGAGATATCATTTCTAATCCCCAACTTATTCACGACAAAATGACAAAATTAAAGTTAGATCTTCCTTTAATTAAGAGCAGCACAAAACATACTTTGATTGGTAATTAGTTCGTGTTTTTATACGATAATTTGAGCTCTAAAGACAACCGAGTGCCTCGACAAGTCTACATCTCGTACGCTGTACCTCGGCTCGGTGTTTTCCAATTTCTTCTTCAAGAGCTGATTTACAAGAAAGGTTAGCTTGATTTTCAATGACCTATCCTACTTTTTTCTCCTGCTTTTTGACTGAAAACGACCACACTTTGACCGAAAAGGTGCCATTCAACGAAACATTTGATAAACATTAGCCGGGAACATTAGTTACCAGAACAAGTGACATGCGCGCGTGCGATGCGCAGTGGCAAAGGTCCGGTACTACCTTAATTACACAGTTTTTCATGTAAAGTAATGTAGATTTTCTAACATCCTTCGCGTCTTAATTAGGGTATCGATTGACATTCACCTGTAAAATAGGGGTGCACTTTCTATGTTAACCATGTCCGTCTTATCTAATAGACTATAAAGTCAAAATATATGACATACTGCCATCTTTTATGCGAAAACTAACTGGTTTATGTCCTGGATAAGGTGCAAATCTATTTGTAAAAGTGAACCGTTTGCTGTTTTACCATCATTCTTTTGTATTTACTTATGCTAGCTCTCGATAACGCATGTTTACACCACGTATCCAGAAAATAAATAAAACAAAAAAAATACAAGAAGACACCTAACGCATAATTTCGCTAAAGTCTAGTATATAAAACAGACAGCCGTAGCGTAGATAATTTAATAAGAGTGGATTGAATGTTGACTAAAATTATTGAGTAAGAATCAGTACACACGGGTTCATGTTATCAAGACTGTGTGGCTACTAAAGTCGACGCTTAAATCATCGCTAATTCGTCAGACGTCAGACGTCTAACAAATTTCTCCATCATTTCTTTACAATGAAAATTTTGGACGCCTTAGAAGTCAAAGATCTTGACTGTTAACCGGTTTATGTTATAAAAACGAGCAATGAAACCGAAAGACAATGGAAGGAAAATGTCAACGGTTGGAAAAACAACAGTGACAGTGACCAGGGGTCGGTTGTACGAAAGATGGATAAAGTCATCCACCCTATAGATTTTGTATTGATTTTATCATCAATGTGGATAAGAGTTTGTCCTGTACAGCGCTATTCGCCCTTTGCTTTTCATCGATAAACTGAGGAGCTGTTTACTAACCTAAGTTTTTCTTGAGAATGGTCAGAGCAGAAGATTGGCCGATGAAGAAGATCCTCTGGATGGGGATTGGAGCGAAGTTCTTCTATTGAAACAACCTTTAGAAA